CAGGAATTACAGTATTGGACTCAAGCAGACCAAACTAAACAACATTTCAATGAGGGACTGCATGGGGGTAGTGATTATGAATTACGCAAAATTTTTGCTGACCATTATGAATTTTTTTCAAATTCTGAGAGCTGATAATGGACAATTACATGTTGCGGCTAATGTACTAATTTACAAAGTACAATGTTTTGGGGCGGCTGCCTATGGATTACGGAGGTTAAAAAGGCCTGATTACGCCTTACGAAAAAGGGCATGCAGGCCCTCTCCGCTTCAGTGTCTGCATGTATATGACATGACACCCTACCCCTAACTCAGAAGTAAAATATGTTTACATTGTGACAGTTGTAAAAATATCTGACTTCCTGTCCCGGAAATCTGGCCACTCTGAACAGCGGATGTGTTTCATGATATTATGTTCATCATATTTCTACTTTGCAGCACACTGAAAATAATAACTTTTTAGTGTATCTTTCAAGTCATGGTTCAAACAATTTTATGTTCTAGGGTGTGCTTAGCTACAAAAATGATAAGAAAATTTAAAAATTTTGAATCTAGCTTTTTAATTTCAGACTCAAGCTGAGAGGCAAGTGTTGAAGGCTATACGATTACATTTTTCTGATATTCTAAATACATGTACTAAATTTTATGGTGTTCTCCCATTTTTTCTGTGAACCATTTATAAAATTTCAAATTGGATTTCAAGCCCTGCACGGTTGTACTTAATTAGGGAAAAGCGAATGCATGTAGCACAGCAGTTGAACCCATAGTAGACCCGCCCCTAAGTGTTATAATGTTAAAACGGTCACATTTTGTAACCATTGACAACGCACTGTTTTACACGTTTTTCCAGACTTCTTTACTATTTTCCCTACCTACATGCTGCACAATCTGTGCTTAATTGCAGTACAAGCAGTGAGTGACAGCAAAAACACCAATTTGTTGAGTAAAAACAACACTCAGCTTGTAACACAACATTTTATCTGGCAAGCACGACTAGCTCCAAATACTCGCCACGAACTATCTGCACTGCGCCATTTCTAACGCCTAAATCGAAGCTACCAGCTACACGGTGTGTCCCAGGCCATACAGACGGCTTAGGGAGCCGATTTAGCGATAAGAGACGAGCTCTTTACTCACGTTTTAGCGGGAAAAGCGGGATCGATGCCGACTTGTCGCCACCGTCAGACGATATTTCTGTCTGTTGTGGTCCGCTTCCTGACGAGAGTAAGCACTTCCGGTGCAGAGGTCACGTTCTGGCGGGAAACTTGAAATGACCAAACAACTTTTGACTTGCAAAACTTGTGTCATAAACATTACGTACGTGACTTATTTAAATTAGTTAAAGTTTTATAAAGTGGGTGAGCAAAGTTCGTGCTAATATTTACTTTAATAGTACCTCTAAGCAAGGTACAAGACCAAAGAGGCATATCCGGGGCAAAGGTCAACCTGTGGCGCGAAATTTGATTTTCAGACGACAAAATGCAACAAAAGTGTTCAACAGCCTGCAGAGATATGATAGAACGTCTTTTTGCAAAGCATGGCGAGTATGCTACATAGTAAACCTCTCAGAAAAGAAAAACTGAAGTAGAAGGAGTATGTATGCAAGTTCATATCTGAACTTTTCAAACTGATTTGTTTCTCCCTCCAGACCGACTACGTTTGGCACTGCCACCCCCCCCCCCCACCCCAACGTGATTTCAGCATGAAGTTTGACGGAAGGTAAGCGTGCTGATTTTGCTCCGTTTCGTCTTCATATTATTCTTATTGAAACCATTATTAGGTAATTGTAATTGACCAGACGTCACTGTGGTGTTGGGTTAAATACATTCTGTACAATGTGTTTCATTACAGTTGGACAAACCCTGGGAGCAGCTGAGATTCCAGCACGTCGGAGGCGACTTGACCGGCTCACTACAGGCGAAGCCTTCCTCAGCCGTATCCGGTATCAAGGTATATCACTGTGCACTTGTTTTCGAAATGATACCTTTCTAGTTTAGTGTGGATACCACTGCCCGGGAGGCGGATGCATGCATGTTCTTTTCTATAGAACTCATCTATTTTATAAACTGGCTATAGTATACTGACTTCAAAGTACAAATATTGAATGAATGATCTAAGGAAAGACGAATTTATGAATGACTGGTTTATTGCGAGCAAGACATTGACATAGCATGCACAGCAAGATTCGTGGTCTCAATCAAGTTTGTGCTGAAAAATCATTACAAACTTCGTCTGTGTGTTACAAAAAGCAAAAACTTGTGCCTGCACAAAAATCTGCCATAAGAATACAACCGACAAAATCGACAATAAACCATTTAGATGTACATTATCATCAGAACAAGTATTCATTACAAGTTTCTTTATTTTTCGTAATTCTTATCTCATTCTTATGTCATCCTTATGTCAATGTATGCAGCTAAGATAATGTATTACATATCTTTTCGTTAATGCCATTGAACAGTGTTCTATTCACCAGTAAGGTAAGAACAATCATCTGGTATATGTTCTATTTTGTACATTTGTGAACAGTTATATATTTTTTGACATTTCAACGTCGTTCTGTACATTTGTCATATTTAACATTTCGCCATGCACAGTTCGGTACTGCATACATATGAACTATCCAGAACCGTTCAAGAGCATCGTTCTGGTAGGGCACGGTTCTGGATATGCATGTACTATCCAGAACCGTGCCAAGAATACGCAACGCATGTATTATCCAGAACCGCATCTGGGCATGGTTCTGGATAAAGCATGGTTCGATTTTCAACACTTCTTCCGATGGTCGGATTATCTCTCCCTGGCTGGACTATCCAGAACCATTTCAAGCATTAATTTTTTCTGGTAGGACACGGTTCTGGATACGTATGTACTATCCAGAACTGTGTCGGAGCATGGTTCTGGATAAAGCCTGGTTCTGGATGAAGCATTTTTAACATGACCGCCCTTGCGCCTTGCCATTTTTCTTGCGATCGTCAGGGTATCTCTCCCTGGACTATCCAGAACCGTTCCAGAGATTCAGGGTTCTGGATACACATGTACTATCCAGAACAGCATCTGAGCTTGGTTCTGGATAAAGCATTTTAAGACGACAGGCCCTTAGGGCCTTGTCGTTCTTCTTCGAATGGTCGGAGTATCTCCCCTGTACTGCCCAGAACCGTTCCAGTGATTGTTCTGTCAAGGCATGGTTCTGGATACTGTACTATCCAGAATCATGCTTGAGCATGATTCTGGATAAAGCATGGTTCTGGATGAAGCACGGTTCTGGATAAAGCACGGTTCTGGATAAAGCACAGTTCTGGATAAAGCATGATTCTCGATAAAGCATGGTTCTGGATAATGCATGGTTCTCGATAAAGCATGTTCTTATTTTAACACGACAGGCCCTAGGCCTTGCCGTTCTTCTTGCGATGGTCGGAGTATCTCTCCCGCAGCTCCTCGGCCAGGTCCCTGCGGCCGACCCGCGACAGCGCGCGGCACAGCTTCCCGATCTTGTCGGCCGCCGCGGGAAGGCTCTTCCGCCACGAGTACAGCATGTCGAACGCCTGCTGCTGAAGGTCCTGGAATGGATGGATGAATAAAATAATGAATGAATGAACTTTATTGTACATACATACACACTGGGTTAGGTACAGGTCACAAGAAGTGGACATTGCACATTCATCATACATTTGTACATTCCAAGATAGAACTAGTACTTTTGTCATTTAAGCTGGGTGTGTTGATGTATAGAAACATTTTAGAGGGTAGCACATTCAAGTCAGATGTTGAGGGTAGAATATAGTCTCCTGTTCGGACTTTTTAGCGGGCAGCGTTTGTTAACGAGTGACTAGAGCACGCCCGGCGGGCAGATACAGCTCCCTCGCCTCCCTCCTCCTTCAATCCAAAACCAACGCTCTACATGGCTGCCAGCTAGAAATTCTGTGCAGAAAGCGAGATATCTATTTATATTTTTTGGTTCAGCAGTAAAAGACAGGGCTGCCGGTCAAACTAGCGGCTAGACAAAAGCTAGATAGAGGCTAGATAAAGGCTATTTAAGATCCATCTGCAGCCACGAACCTCCGGGTTGTTCCTCTTGATGTGCTGCAGACGGGACCGCTTGACGCGCAGGTGGTGTCCCAACAGGTCCCAGTCCTCGTCTATCTCCGAGGCTAGCCACTGCAGCCAGTCGTTCACTAACGGACCTGGGAGAAGGGACGCGGAATGTTACTGAACAATCAGTTTCTGTGGTACTCTTTACCTACATCTGTCTCAGTATAGCCTGTATAACCACCCAGCTTTGCAGGCGTGTGGCACCTTTTATACCTAACCACTGCAGCTAGTCGTTCACTAACGGGCCTGGGAGAGAAGGAACGCGGAATGTTACTGTACAGTTTGTATTGTACAGTTTTCTGTGATACTCTTTACCTTTATCTGTTTCTGAAGTCTGAATATAGCACGAATAACTGCCCAGCTTCGCAGGCACGCGGCGCAGCGGCAGCTGGGTACATTACACTGAACAACCTGTCACACTTAACCTTTGCACATCAAGCTGTTCATAAATGATTGTAGTTTACTTATAGAAGTACCTGTGACCTTTTTACATGATTAAATCCTATATTAGACATTATTAGAATATCATTGCATATCTTCAATGTATGATTTTGGAAAAGGCATAGACGCCCACCTTGTGACTCGATGAGTTTCCGGTAAGCACTTGGGGGCCTTGGGGGGTCCCGCTCTCTCTGTAGGGAGAAGATAGCAATGGATTAAATCTTTAAGCATTGTTGGGATGTTATTGGCCTCCTAACGACCTTCTATGGTATTGTACTTGAACGTCCAGTTTCCATATCTCAGGGTCTGATCATGCCATGGTCACGATTGTTCCGTGGGAGGTGGTTTTGGACTGGGTAGTTTTCTTATACTTTCTAGTGGTGGCTTTCCTTAGAACTGTAGGCTTATTTTCTATCTTGAACTTTGAAACTTGGAAACAGCATAACTCAAGAAGAGATAAACATGTGGTAGTAATTTTCATGGTATCACATTGGCCCCGAAGCCGAGGAGCTGGCCTGGACTCTTTATTATAAGTGCAGGGTTTGTTTTCATTATAGTTTTGCTTGAAGCTGAGACAAAGCGTACCTTGGGCAGGGTAACAGGCAGCTTACAGATGCTGTCCAGCCCCTCCTCCACCGCGTCCCCCAGGAAGGCGTTCTTGATGACATCGGGCGGGCCCCGGTCGGGGTCCTCGGCGCCGGGCTTCCCAACGCGCCGCCGGGTGCCGTAGAACCGCACCATGCCGCGGTAACACGGGGAGCTGTAGTTACCGAACTCGTTCACCTGCACATGTGGGTTAGCCGAGAAACTCGCTGTTACGAAGAGACCAAAACTACATTATACTAACTATAGTCTGCCTTCTCTAGCCTGTAGCACAGTCGTTTCAGCTTCCCAAGATCATCTTGGCAGGGTAGATGACCTTCGGAGCAGACTGAAGCTATCATAAATTTCCATGAGGGGCATTGTGCTTGCAATCAGATATTTGCACAACCATGTCCGAAGGCTAACTAAGTGCACATACAGTGTGAAAGAATTCGAAAGTAGATGTAAAGTAAAGCAATAGAGAACATACATGTACTGTTATACTGCCTGATCAACTATAAGGTTACATCGATGGAATATCCAAGCAGGTCCAAGGCAGTATTCTATTCTCCAAACAGTGGCTACACGTCTTGGCGAAATCGAATTGGACACTGTCTCACCACCGTATCAACTATCAGGGTAGGGTAACAGGCAGCTATCAGCTTAAAGATTATATCGATGAAGGTTATGGTAAACATTTCACCTCCTTGATGTAGAAGTGCGCCTGTGTCCGCCTCTGGCTGTAGAAGGTGAGTCTGACGGAGTCCCTGCTGTCCCCGTCCGTGTCTCTGCTCACGTTTCCCGAGAACTTCAGCACAAGCTCGTCTCCGTCCTTCAGCAGGACCTGCCGGGAGGTAACGTGTGGTCCTTGGTAAATCGCAGTGTGGTATTAACGCTTAAGTACAATCTAGTGGGCGTTGTTACAATAAATGTCAGTATCAAATATACTATCTACAGTGAGAGGCGAGTGTCAGTGTGACCAGCAGCTAGGGTATATATGCCTAGACATTCCCAAAGTTTCCTTGGGAAGAAGGCACTGTAGTGGCTATGCTGTATCCAGAACTATGCTCACGCACGGTTCTGGATAGTCCACACGTATCCACAACCATGGCTGGTGCAAATCTACGTTCTTGGATACGCAGACACTATACAGAACCGTGCCTTGCATGGGCCTAACCCTAACCCATTTAGGCGTAGAACTAGCTAGGTAAACATAGTTCTGGATACACAGAGACTATCCAGAACCGTGCTTGATTCTAACCCTAACTTAGGCATAGAACGAAATAGACACCGGTACCGTTCTGGATACGATAGACAGTGCGCGTGACTGTGAGTAAACTGTTTACCTCCTTGCTGGGCTCGGCCATAGCAAAAGCTGTAGGACTATATATATGTGACTGTGAACAGACTTTACCTCCTTGCTGGGCTCTGCCTCCTCGTACCCTGCTGCGTCCAGCTGCAGTTCGGCCTCGCGCACGTCCCGTGCCGGCACGCAGCGCACCACGGCCCGCTCGGGGTCGCCTGTCTTGGTGCGCAGGATGAGCCGCGCGTCCGTCAGCCCCAGCGACGTCTCCAGCAGCCGCGGGAACGCCTCCGTCGCGCCCTGGAACTGCTCGGCCGCAGGGTCGGCGGTACGCAGGACGATGAACCTGGGAGGTAGGGGCGAATGGTATTAGCTGAATTGGCCAACCTGTATGGGCCTAACACACCAGCTTTGCAATTTCACGTAACGCGGTAGCAGCTCGGTTTGTTACACCAAAGAACTTGTAAACCTCTCATTCGAATTCTAACTGCTACATTGCCATTTTATGAAGGGTTCCCTAACGTATACCAGGGTCAGTGAAAACGGCACATGCACTTCCTCACTATGTGGGCAGGTGTTTTACTACAGATAATATTCTCAATGCCTGTGTCAATGGAAAAATTGCCCTGTTAAAAAGTGGACGGCCAAAAAGTGACCAAATGGTCCTTATATCGTGGTAGTCACTTGTACAGTACAGGTACGTGCACAAGAATCCTAACCAAACGTCGTCTACAAAGACAAATAGCTCGTACGTACTTTCCCAGCAGTTCGGCTGTCTCGAACGTGACGAGGCCCTTCTTGTTCTGCCGGAACCTGACGCCCATGACCTCGGCCCAGGCCTCCTCGCCCTCGGGCTGCCCCAGCAGGTGCAGGAAGTCGTCCCCGTTGTCGCCCTCTTCCATCAGGCTGGTCCGGCCGGCTGGCGCGCTACCGGGACGCGGGGACGTGCCGCCTAGCTTACGGGACCTGGTGGGGAGACGGAGAAACAAGCGTTACGTTAGACTGGATTTGCTAACCCCAACAGGTGCAGGAAGTCGTCCCCGTTGTCGCCCTCCTCCATCAGGCTGGTCCTGCCGGCGGGCGCGCTACCGGGCCACGGGGAGACGCCGCCTAGCTTACCGGACCTTCATAATGAGGAGGTGGGGAGAAAGAACAGCGTTATTTCTAGCCAGGTTATCGTAGGCTCCAAGGTTTCTCTTCGGTACCGGGAGTACCGCCCGCCTGCCCAGGCCCTTTAGTACACGCCCCCGGGACTTGCCGCCAAGCTTACGGGACCTGGTGGGAAGGCGTGAAGAAAAAACAGCGTTACTGCTGCTAGACTGGATTTGCTAACCCCAACAGGTGCAGGAAGTCGTCCCCGTTGTCGCCCTCCTCCATCAGGCTGGTCCTGCCGGCTGGCGCACTGCCGGGCCGCGGGACGAGCCGCCAAGCTTACGGGACCTGGTGCGGAGGCAGGGAGAGAAAAACAGCGTTAGTTTTAAGCTAGACTGGATTTGCTAACCCCAGCAGGTGCAGGAAGTCGTCCCCGTTGTCTCCCTCCTCCATCAGACTGGTCCTGCCGGCTGGGGCACTGCCTGGCCGCGGGGACGTCCCGCCAAGCTTACGGGACCTGGTGGCGGGAAAAAGGAGCGTTAGTTTTAAGCTAGACTGGATTTGCTAACTCCAGCAGGTGCAGGAAGTCGTCCCCGTTGTCTCCCTCCTCCATCAGACTGGTCCTGCCGGCTGGCGCGCTTCCGGGACGCGGGGACGTACCGCCAAGCTTACGGGACCTGGTGAGGAGGCGTGAAGAAAAAACAGCGTTAGTTTTAAGCTAGACTGGATTTGCTAACGCCAGCAGGTGCAGTAAGTCGTCCCCGTTGTCTCCCTCCTCCATAAGGCTGGTCCTGCCGGCGGGCGCACTGCCCGGCCGCGGGGAGACGCCGCCAAGCTTACGGGACCTGGTGGGTGGGAAAGCAGTGTTACTTGCAGCCTGACACTAGACTATCGTTGGTTTCTCGGTATCTCTACGGTGCTGGAAGCACTGTCCGCCTGCCCATGCCTATTATACATCGGTTAAATTGGGCAATATTTAGAACCGCCCAGCTTACGGGTACGGGCACGGTGATGTCCACGGGCTTGTGCAACCTGAGGCCGGGGCTACCCTGTACCCCAGCCCGGTACCCAGCTACCCTGTTCCCCAGCCCTGTACACCAGCCCTGTACCTACCCTAGCTATCCCGTACCTACCCGCCGAGTCCAGCGGTGCCCGGCCTGGTGGGGTCCCGTGCCCAGTTGCCCGCCGGGTTGAGCGGACAGGGCACGGTGATGTCTACGGGCTTGTGTAGCCTGAGGCCGGGGCTGAGCGCCAGAGACACGATCGGGCTGGTGGAGATGAGCGAGTCGCAGTCCGGACAGCGGGACTTCAGCGCAGACAGGCTGATAGAGTCTACAGGTTGCACCTGTGAAGGGTGGCAAGGTGCTGTTTTGGTTAGGCCGTAAGGGTTTTTGACTCAGAGTCTAATGTGTTACGCCAAAAGGTGGTCTTATGGTTAGGGTTGTTGAGTTAGAATCTGGAGGTTCTGGATTGTAAAGATCCGGGGCTCTGGGTTCAAACCTTACAGTCTGGTCTTAAGCAGGCTGTACGTACTGTACAAAACTGATATATTAACAATTACCAGGCCTAAAGGTGGTTGACCGGTTGTGCGAAACAAAGGGTTGTCAGTTTCGTTGTTGGGTTTGCAGCATGTGCAAGATTCTAAACGCCGAAGAAGAGGAATATTCTTGACAGTTAGAGCTCTGAAGTCCATATATTATAAAACTAATCGGCATGTGGTGTCGGTGGACATCATTTTGGCAAAGTTTCCCTTCCAATGCAACGGACTTCAGCACCAAGGACATCCCCAGTGTTCATGTACATACTTCGTGGAGGGTTGCTTGGCCACGTTCGCCCCCTAGCGAGTTATGTAGGAACTACTGCTCTCCTCACCTGCACGTCTAAGGCTCCCGCCGTCTTGATCGCTCCTGGCGGGAAGTTGAGCTCGATCCTCTGGTCCACGGACGACCTGAAGACGTTTGGCTTCGTCTTGCTCTTCTGTAGGGTGAAGGTTTCCACCTTAAGACGCGACACGACGACGTAACAGGCCAGGCGGGAAACCTCGAACTCCACGAAGTGTCCCTGTGGTGGAAGAGTAAAGACCGTTTTCATTATTAATGTGATAAAAGTTAGTGCAATAATTTTGTTTGATATTTATAGTCACAAGGAAGAATCTGGGAAAGTTAGAGCATGACAACCTTAAGAAATTTAGGAGAAATTTAGACCATGACAAACTTAAGAAAATTTGAAATGCAAGTTAAATAAGATTCATGCTGACCAACGTAAATATAATCTTTGGTTTACAAAGCATACATACAGGAGATGGTGGAAAGATAAAAATCGTGAATCACACAGGAGTTAGTTTAAAGGCAGCAGAGTCTAGAGCCCTGGGCCATGCAACATAGGGGGACCTCAAGGGAGCAAGGGACCATCTTCGGGCTTAGGGCAGGCAGAAAAGCAGGTGGTTAGTTAAACGTAAATACATCTTTTCTATGCTCACCTTTCTGTCTTTGTACACCACATCTGCTGCCTTCAGCGGCACCGTTTTCCAAGTCTCGCCGTCGGCGGTGGCCTTGACCGCCAGTTCTCGCGAGACGTGGCGAGACCATGTGTAGGGCAGCGAGACCACGGCGGGAACGGGCAGCTTCCATCCCGCGGGGGCCAGCTGCACCACGTGACTCACCAGCTCCTCGTTCTGCGCAAGCGCGGACGACGCCAGCTGATTGGCTATTTGGCACGTGACCGGGAAGTTGGTGACGGCCCCGATGTCCACCTTGATGAGGCAGGCGAGTTCTGATTGGCCGTCATCGTTCAGGGCATCGAGCCTACAGAAACGGGCAAAAAGGTTGTTCTTAGCAAGGAGGTTTAAATCTTTGATCTTAGGTAATGGCTTAAGATTCGAAGTTCACCTTTTCACTTTAAGCCGCTTTCCCACACGTTGGCAATCGCATGTATCAGAGCAGTCGATTCATGTCAGGTGCTTTTGTTAAGAGTGACGGTAGTAGGCGGCAGTTTCTAAGACACGCGGCACGGAATTGTCACAGAAACCCCTCCATCGCGTTGCACGATGTATATGTGACCGGGGGAGCGAGTTAACCTTTGTAAAAGTTGCAATTATAGGATTCGTCTGCAAGCCGGAAGCCCTGAAGGGGCATGACTGCATCGACAATGTGCAAATATCCTACTTCTATAGCGGAAGGGAACCTATTCAAACCCACCGCTCTGTGAATAAGCTTGCATACGTGTAAAGTTAGGAAGGAAAAGGTTATTGTAGGACACTGGTGGAAGAAGTGGTGGTCAAACTTACGTTGAACGAATGGAGGATTTGGGCACAAGGAGCCCAGTACAAGAAAAAGAAACATAACGCAAAGGCTACGCAAGATTAACAAAGCAAATCTTGTATACAGAACACTGGGGACAAACTAGAATTCAAAGAAGTGAACTTACGGAAAGGTGCTCCAGATTCCAGGATTGGCCGGCGTCTTTTGATCTACATGTTCTTTGTCTTCTGGGGAAGTGTTAAGGTTAATTTCCACCCGATCGCTGTTGGTCTTTTTCTTTTCTTTCTTAGAAGATTCTTTTGTCTTTGTGGTTGCCGCCGGTCTGTCTTCACTCTTTGGTCTGCTTTGCTTTTCTACTATTTGTTCTATGTCGTTTTCAGCCTCCGTAGATTTGTTATCAGTTTTTTCTGCACTATCATTGTCTTTCGTGTCATCGTCTGTCTTTTCCATTTCTTTCACATCGTTTTCTTTCTTTTCTGTTTCCTCTGCGCTTTCTTCGTTGGTTGGAACCTCTTTCGTTTTATCTTCTTCCGATTCTTTTTCATCTTCGGCTACCTTTTCTTCTGTGTCCGGCGGTTCGTCTACAACAACGTTTTCCGATTGATTGCCAGCGACTTCGTTTGAGTCTGAAATCGTAGCTTCAGGAGCAGCTTTTTCTTCGCTTGTTTCCTCCGCAGCGGCGTCCTTCTCTTCAGTTGTCTCAACAGGTTGATCCTCGATGCACTCTAGTTGGTTCAGCTCTCGCGCGTCTTCCAAGATGGCGGCCTCCGCCTCCCGAGCCACCTCGGCGACCGTGCCTTCGGCCTTTTCCGCCACCGTCATCGCCTCGTCGACGCTCTTACGGAGATTGCCGACGGAGGCCTCCTTAGGATCGTCCTGTCCGTGGTGCTCTGAAACAAATCAATGGAAATTCATAAGAAAACTACCACTTTTGTTAAAATATATTGCTTGCAGTGTTGAAAATTATAGCCTTTTCTCTGGACTTATTTCTGTCACTTCATTGAACATCAGAAAAATAACACATTTAAAATTAGAGTTCCACGATCTCATACCTTCGCCAGATGATGTTAATCTGTATGACTGACAAATTAATTATAAGTGATCCTCCCTGACTATGCAAATATGCCTCATTTGCATGAATTATATCAGTTGATCATATCGTGTTTACAGACAGACAGACACACAGACACAGACACACACACACACACACACACACACGAACGCCTCTGAAAACATAACCTTCTTGGCGAAGATAATTACAGAACAGATTATGTAGACTCTTATGGCACCAAGTGTTGAATAATGTCAGGCAGTTGGGGAAAACTGTCAGTGCAGGTTCTAACGAAGTGGGTGGTCTTAAAAAACGTCTACTTGAGTCAGTACTTTATTGTGAACTTGTCTCTCTTCTGGCTCGATGTCAAGTGTCGCCAGTTCTGCACACCGCACCGATGCATCTTCACAAAGTACCTGCCACAGTTCTTTTTTTTTTTGCTACATTGTCAGACTCCGTTTTAGTTTTGCTCCTTTCTGTGTTTGCTACATTGATAAATGTATATGGGGGCGAGGTCGTTCATGTTGTGGCAGTTCTGTGTTTTGCTACATTGACAAATGGACTGTTCATGTTGTGGCAATTCTGTGTTTCTGCTACACTGACAGCCCGTTCTTGTTGTGGCAGTTCTGTTTCCACTACAGTGACAAATGGGTCGGTCACGTTGTGGCAGTTCTCTGTTTTTGCTACATTGTCAGACGCTCCTTCCTGTTGTCGCGGTGCGCAGGTTTTGTCCGGTTCGCGCGAGGTTTGCGTGCCAAATGGCGGCGTCTTTACAGAGGGCCCTGACCCGACTTTCAGGATCACAGGCGCTGAAAGCAGAAGCCCTTCGCGCCAGCGGGCCCGCTGTATTCACACTCAGTGTTAGGCAGCGGCCGAGCCGCCAGTGAATGGCCTGCGCAAACATCAGAAGCCTTGAAGCGGCATTAATGACTGTGAGCGGATTACCGTCTGCCGCGCTGTGCAGGTATTTTCATCTCGTAGCTTTACGGAGCCGATCTCCTATCGCCACAGATATCCCAAACAAGCGCCTGGCCTTTAACCGCCGGTTACTGTTTGAAGAAAGGCTTTTCTGAGCTGTTTACGCTCGGATTTTGATCGGCTGAAATGGGCCCTGAAAGTCCCTGATGACGCGGCGCGCAAACATGGCCGGCCGGCGGGCGCCGTTGCCATGGTGTCACACGATATTTGTGTAGCCAATCGTGGGACGTGTCGGAGTTGACAAAGGCTGGCGGAGGTGATCTATGTCCTCGCGGACAGCTGACACGTACGTCACGTACAGGCCACCATTATCATATCCTGTCAGAGAGATGACAAATGTACAGGCTGTGCCGTATGCAGAAACATGACAAACATGCCTATACAGGTCTATGCCCGAATGGGTTATATTATATATATGTTATATTATTGCTACAAGTAGATATAGTCTCACATACCATTGTATTTTCTTTGTTATGTTGTTATGCAACTAGCCCTCGGGCAAGTACTATTAGCAATAAACTTTCTAATTACTTATATCCAGAACCGTGCCTATCTATGTCTATGCCTAAATGGGTTAAGGCAAGGATCAGGCACGGTTCTGGACAGTCTCCGTGTATCCAAGGACGTAGATCTGCCCCTGGTACGGTTCTGGATACGCGTGGATAATCCAGAACCGCGTCTGAGCATGGCTCTGGATAAAGCACTGTCTTGTTGCCACGAAAAAGATCTGCTTGGAGATTAATTCCCTGTCAGGGAAATGAGGAATGTATAAACTGTGTATGATGTACGACATGACAAACTGGGCAGGCTATAGACGTGCCGATCAGCTATAAATAAAAGACTTCTATTGTACACCCATGCCTACAATGGCTGCACATGACCTAATAAACCTATGACAAACAAATACAGAAAGGTATAGCCAACAACTAAGTGCAGAATTCTACTATCCATAGCCCCATAGGCAGGCCTGGTTGGGTTTTACATTTTTGCCCATTTCTACCATCCGTACCCCTTGGGAAGGCCTGGTGAAGGCTATAGCTATCTGTGGGCGGCGGAAGGAATTCTCCCAATTCTTGCGTAAAGAGGAAAACACACAGCCTGAGCTCCCACTTCCTTCTTTACTACTCCTACAGACCCTCCTAACCGTACAGCCGTTTGTTTACGGACCGTGCGAATCGCTGGAAACGAGGGAAATGAAATCACTGAACAAACGGTACGAGTGGCCCTCAAGCCGTAGCCTCCGTAGCAGATGTATAGAAGTGGGGGTTTGGTGGTCTTCGGCTGTTTTCTGATTAGCCCAGTTAAGTTAAAAAAAACGTGGGTAATTCAACCAGGCCGGCTATGTTGTCTGTATGCAATCAGAAAATAGCACATAAAAGCTCCCAAAGACACTAAAGACCCCCAAAACGCCCAGTTTTTGGCATGCTATGGAGGACCCTCCAGTCGGCTGTAACCCTCTCACACGTACTCAGAGCCGCCCTTGGCTGGTTTTAAGACGCCTTGCCGCGTCCTTGTGAGACGGAAGCACCTTGTACCGCAGGTGCACCTTTGTTTGTTTGTACCGCATCACAGGTAAACCGCCTTCAGGCGAAATACTAGTACTCAGGTTTTGTACCTTAAGTACAAGTTGGGTAACACTTAGCCGAGAGGATAGAGTTTTACCCAGGCTGAAAGCAAAACTGTACCTACAGTACCTACAAAGATGTCTTGTTTATACATGTAGGGGTCTATGTTAGCCAATGCCTGTCCCAAACAAAAGAAGTCAAGCCCCTCAGTAATGTGCGTTAAAACACTAGATACTTCTATAGAAATGGCAGGTTAGGTTCACAAAGAAATTGTTACTCAAGCAACTGGATAAATTTTAAAAACTGTCAGACGTTTCAGGTGGCATCCACTACTTTTTGTCAGTGACTAACGGTATCTGTAGTTGAACAGGTGTTTGTCCCAAAACTATGACTTGATATGTAAGAGGGACTAGGTTGTTATACCCGCATAGCTAGCAGATTTGTCACTTCTTTCTCACGTTTACAACACTGAGTTGATACCCAATTGGTTCCCCTCTCCCTGAGGAGTGCATTGAGCTTGAGTTTTTCTTGGCTACCGTCCGGCTTAAGTGTTCTATTACCCACATAGCTGGTACATTTGTCACTGCTTTCTCAAGGCCCACGCTTTCACCCCCAAAACGACCTGTCCTCAAAACTGAGCCAAGCACGTTAGGAGAAAGGTACAAATAGTTGAATGTAGAGAAGAAAACTACTGGGCCGCCCAAATCAGTTCTTCCGAAGCCTCAAAACACCCTACGTACCGAAGAATACATGAAAAGCCGTCTACATATTTTTTAGTTCCAGTCGAACATGTACAACTACAGTAAGTTGACACACAATCGACGACTCCTGTCTCTATCCCCTCCCCTCCCCGCCCACCCTAACAACCCATTTAACTCCCGAACATTCCGAACTAGCCGGTCATGACAAGGCGGACAAAAGAGAACCTGGCTAGTTAGTGTATCCGCTGGTAGGACATGAAAGAAGCGGAAACAGGCGAACATGAATGTCTCAGGGTCGGGTGTCGACATCCTACCCGGGCAGGGACAAGTAGAGCAGGACCGGCCTAGCCTCGTACAGGCTTCGGGGGCGGCTAAAAAGAGTAGAACTTAGCCAAACAGACAGGTAAAATGTAAGAATAGTTAGTCCGCTAAAGGAGCAAAGTTTGCCGCCCTCTGTACACCTTTAGCGTACCAACTCTCCCGGCATGTTATCTCTCTGTTTGGCCAATTTCCACTCTTTCCAGCCGCTTCTGAAGCCTGGTAGAGGCTATCCCCGCTGTAGTGACTACCATGTCTCGTGTGACCGTGCCGGACTATTTATAGCGTTAGAAATCACGCCCTGCTTGATCAGATATTGTTGTCTCTGCTGAAAGGTTTTGATGGGTTTTTATGTAAGCAGCCTTGCCGGGAGAATCTAATCAGTGTTGGTTTACAGGTGTGCTTTTGGTGAACAGTCACCTGTGCTAGAGGTGGTCTCAAATGTATGAATAGCGAGTTTCAGCCTTGAACTTCACTACAGTTCTACAGTTTCTACCGGACTCTATTAGGCTGAGGAATAGAAGACATGTATAGAAATTGGTTGATATAAAAGTTTCCCTTTAGCAAAATAGAGATGTACAACGACAGCAATTTCATTTGTAAATTCTAATTGTAGGCTAGCACAGAGAATGTTAAGGAGTGGATGCTACTTGAAACGTCTGACAGTTTCCAAAATCTATCCAGTTGCTTGAATTGAGTATCTCTTTTTTTGTGTATGTCGTTTAGCCTTCACTGACGTAATAATGTAAAGAGCTAAGTAACAGGTGTTTATTCTATTTACATGACTGGGGGGATTTGATGTGTTGTATTTGGAGGCAGTGGCTACAATGTGATATTGGCCAAAAGGCATCCCTTTAAACAAGAAAAGTTTTGGAGATTGGCTTGTAGAGCGTACTTAGGAGTTGAATGTCTGGTTTAATGGACTCTTACGGCACTATTTATCTTACGTTGTTCCGAGTCATTATTCTGTCGTTCGCTGTGTGCGTTTTGTTTCCCCTCTGTGTTCTCTGTGAGAGGCGCCGTTGATACAAGCTATTGTACCGAGAACTGTGCTGTCTAGTTCCATGCCTGAATGGGTTAGGGGCAGGATCAGGGACGGTGCTGGATAATCTCCGGGTATCCAAGAATGTATATTTGATACAGGCACGGTTCTGATACGTACATACGCTTGGACTATCCTGAACATGATTCTGGATAAAGCACGGTTCTGGATACAATACAAACATTTGCCTGAGCGTGTTGCTACTGTGTGTAGTTGTGAATACATGCAGGCACACAAGAAAGAACGTCTTTCACGCAGTGGCTACAAATTAGGACGTGGGAAACAAGGCGAACAGCGAAGGGAGACGAGAGGCATGATTTTTACCAACGGACAAGATTAAACACACCTGAAGAACGTTTGTGGTCACCTGTCATTGGCCCAACAAGCGCTGATCATACCATAATTAGAAAAAGATACAAATAGCTTAATGAGCATTTCTTTCTACTAGTAGGCTAATTTTAAAAACACCCTACTTACCAATTCCAGAAAAGAAAACACCAAAATCCAAAGACATCTCAGTCAAACCTGTACAAGTGACCACCTCTACGTAAACAAGTGACCACTACGTGTCTCTTGAGTGTTCCTGTAGACAGGTTTCAACACTATGTGTTGTTTTCTTAATGCACCGAAGACAAATTCTGTACCTGATACAAATAATAGAATGCAGCAAAGAAAGCCACTGGCTCAAATAATTTCTTTCTAAGCCTGAAAACTAAGAAAATACTAAAATTAATGGACATCAATTGAGTCTCGGTCACTGAATCTGTAACGTGTAGCGACCACATCTGCATACGTAAACAAGTAAGGAACATAAGGACCACCTGATCATTAATATACCTGTAGAGTCATACCTGTACTAGCCATCACCACTGCATGGGGGCCGTCTGGCCAAGGCGTTCACTTTTTACCGAATACTCCCTAGCGCGGTCACTATAGACATATACGTCTGACTGTATGTTGTTTGAAATTTCCTAGACCCACACATCGACGATAGCTAAAACATATGTAACCTGTCAGATTGACAGAAGTAAAAACAGCCCAGTGGCGTGACTGGTGTTTGTAGTTGCCCCAGACAGTCCGATAACGGTCCTAATGGTCCGGTTTACGACTGGAGGACGCAGATGTTATTAATGGGAGAGTTTACATGTTAAACACCTCCTGGGTCCAGGTAAACAACTACTGAAGTACACACATGTGTGGCGAAGGTTGTTTCTGACGAATACTGAAGATTTATAGGTTCAATACCTACTTCATACAGCCTTGTAATTGGGCTATTTGCCCTCTGTCTGAATTGGTAATTTCCACTGTGTGATAAGGAAACAGATTGGTCCTTGACACCAGACTAACTACGCCGACTATAATAGGGATAATAATCTGCCAGGAGTTTGCGTTTGCCCTTTTCTAAGGGAAAATTTTACGACTCACTTGCCTGACCAATTGTTGGTCTTATGTTTCCCATATTCTATTAGTCATAACCCTTAGGCAGGCCTGGTAAAGGCTACAGGTTTTACCTATATGCTACTATCCACAACCCTTAGGAAGGCCTGCTGCAGGCTATTATTTTTGCCAGTATTCTACTATCCATAACCCCTTAGGCCAGCCTGGTGGAGGCTACAATTTTTACCGATATTCTACAACCCATAATCCTCAGGATGCCCGGTAGAGACTACTATTTTATGCTGAATTCTACTCTCCAGCACCCCGTAGGAAGGCCTGGTGGAGGCTATCTGCTACTCACATAATCCTTAGGAAGGCCTGTTGGAGGCTACTATTTTTTGCTGAAGTCTACTCTCTAACACCTTAGGAAGGCCTGGTGGAGGCAATGTGCTACTCACATATACCTTAGGAAGGCCTGTTGGAGGCTATCTGCTACTCACATATTCCTTAGGAAGGCCTGGTGGAGGCTATCTGCTACTCACATAATCCTTAAGAAGGCCTGGTGGAGGCTATCTGCTACTCACATAATCCTTAAGAAGGCCTGGTGTTTGGCTATCTGCTACTCACATAATCCTTAAGAAGGCCTGGTGGAGGCTATCTGCTACTCACATAATCCTTAAGAAAGCCTGGTGTAGGCTAAGGCATCCCTGGTAGTGGCCTATTTCTCAGCCTCTGAAGTTGTAATTGTGAAAGGGGAAAGGATCAGAAGGGATCAAGCTTGGAGACCTGATTAGGATTACTGGTTGGTATTAGGGTCACGGCGTAATCCAGGCTAATCCTCGGGTATGTATGGAGGCACAACACATGCCTCTGTGCTGTGAGAACATGATACTAGTACTGTATATGACCGAGTAATCTCCAAGCAGATTATTTGGTGGCTACAAAATCAGTATCAAATTGGCCAGGCAGTATCCACTTGTCACTCCAAGCGTCAAAAAAGATACCAGTACAAAAGAAATGTCTAAAACACGTCAAAGACAAAAGCCTAAAGCTCTGGTTGGAGAGTAGAGATTGTGTAGATCAGACCAGTACAGTGGCCAAGTCAGCACGGTAGTCGCCTTGCATTCGATAGGTCGTATGTTCAATCCTTACTCAACTCAAGGATACCTGACTTCGGTTGGTGAGGTAAAACGCAGTAGAAGGACACGGATGGGCTCCGCCTTCCAATACAGTGATCTAAAGTGGATCAACAACCCACTGCCCCTACAGCCTCAGAAAGGCTACGGAACTACCTTTAATTTTTCTAGACCCGCCTAACGACATGAGAAGCAGTCGCACCCGGGCGCGGATATCGTAAATACTTCCCGTACTCGGATAACTCCCAGCGCGACTGTATACCTGTCACAAATTTATACCTGTCACACCTGTATACCTGTCACACCTGTACTTGTCACACCGTGTTTGATCTCACCTGTGTCACACACAGGTAAACCTATGTCTTCCACAGGTTTTAATTAAGGAAGCAATTTACCGCGTCCCCATCTGTTGTAGCCAGAACCCTGCTTTATCTCAAAATATGCTCAGGACAAGGTTATGGCTAGTCCATGTATGAACAGAAAATTACTCTACAAGCAGAGGTTGATGGTGGAAGATCGTTTGCTTTTTATATATGACATTTTTTGTCGCTACCACCACCTTGGGTGGGGAAATGGTTACACACTGGCCAATTTCAGGGTTTGGGCCAATTTGATACTGTCTTACCCTACCAAAAGATCTGCTTGGAGATTACAGAAACGTGCATGGGGCAAATCTACGTTCTTGGATACGCGCAGACTATCCAGAACCGTGCCTGGCCCAAACCCAAACCCATTGAGGCATAGAACTAGACAGGCATGGTTCCAGATAGGATGACAGGTTTCGCCTGTCTTCCACAGTTTTTAATTAACCCTTAAGAAGAAAGTTGTTACCGACCTTGTATTCCGTGACTTGTGGCCATATTTCCGTGTTGTAGGAACACCTGGCAGGGGTTGTTAAGTAAACTTTATGGCGAGTCATGCCTCAAGTCGAACCACCAACAAACAGGCGACATGTACGGTACACACAGGAGGGTACTCAGGAAGGGTGCAGAAAACATCCCCGGCATTTTTCTGTTATGGCCAATCTTGCAAGAATGTGCTTTCCCTAAACTATATAAGTACAGTCCAAACTCGCAAAGGCCACTCAGGGGACCTATAAAATCTGGTCTATGTGGACAGGTGGTCTTTATATACATGATTCTCGTATAAAGGACCAGGTGGTCCTATAGCTAGTGTGGAGGTGGTCACGTGTACAAGTTTGTATATTGATAATGTTCGTTCCTATCGGACATGCAACAGTATTTCTTTACGTTATAACGTTAAGCGTAACCTTCTTAGCAAGTGCTACGCCTGCGCTTTTGGGAAGCTTTTTTTCTGACGCATCTCTTCCGGGATTCTTTCTCACCTTCAACACACTTGTACCCATTTCAACCTTGAGCACACCTGTTCTCTTGCCTCGTCTTTAGCACACCTTAAAGCTAAGGTCCCAATTACGCCGGTGCCCGTCGGGGATGTAGCCCCGGCTGGCCCCGGCCGGGTTCAGGAGTCGAGCGGGCATCGTCTGTCGTGGTCACAATTAAAAGTTTCCTTCAGTAGCATTTTGTTAGAAATTTTGTCACCCTCTTTGGTCGGTATCCGGCAGGCACCCGGCAGGTACCCAGCAGATTCTCTGACGATGTCTTGTATTGACCTATACGTAATGCAGAATTCACGTATTTGTTGTGATCATTTGATGTGAGGTCACACATTTTACCCGGGTTTACGAAGTACACACCTTTATTCTGTTCATCTGGTCTGTGACGTAAGAAATGTGTCCCGGTGGAATGCCGGCAACCGGAGGGGTACCTCCCGGTGTTCTCACGATGAGGTCACGGCGTCTTGTTGTTAGCGGGGCCCGGGTAGAATTTAACTCAGAATTAAATTCTTATCGGGGCCCCGACGGGCCAAAAAATATCCCGGTAGCCGCAGGGTGCCCCGCGGGGCCACGTCGGGGTCCCGCCCGAAAGTGGTAAAAAACAGCCCGGGAACTACCCGCCAGAGCCCCTTTTCCCAATTGGGACCTTAGCTTTAGACAGCTTGTCCCCATCCTCACCTTAAGCAGACATGTTCCCCCATCTCACCTTTAGTACACCCGCCTCACTTTTGGCTCACCTATCCCCCCACAGTCTCACCTTTAGCACACCTGTCCCTGCCGCCTGCCAGCTTGAGCCCGTCCCGTGTGCCGGCCAGCACCCCGCGCACATGGCGAATCCCGGCCGCCAGCTCACCGCTCTCTCGGGCGCAGTCCTCCAGCACCGCGGTCAACTCCTGCAGAAGCCCCGCAACCTAACAAACGCACAGAAAAACTAGACAGTTAACATTTGCAAATCAAAATGTATGATGTTTACCTTCACACATAGTCTGCTCTGTTAATTCTCATGGTGGTCATTGACCTTAAGAAGAAACGAGGATGAAGAAACAGAGCGAAAACAGAGTCTGACACTTTAAGGGGGGGGGGGGCTTTTGTAACATTCTTTCACCAAAAATTGAAATGGTTCAGTCCAGAAAATATTGAATTCGTGTGATTGTCACTTACTTCAACCATTCAACATATTTGGCGCTACGACAGCACACACGAGGCACACTCGGTTTATGGTGCCACCACAAACTATCAGAATGTAAACAAACAAGAACTTACGATACAGTCAACAAAATGTAGTGGTGTATTGTCACTAATTGGAAGTTTCTGAAACAAACAAACAAACAAACAAACAAGCAAACGAGCGCACCTTCCCGCGGGCCAGCCCGGCCTTGCCCGCCGCCTGTATCTTCGCGTTCTCCCGCTCCAGTTGCCGCGCCAGGGCCGACACCTGGGCAGCGATCTGCCGCGGCTGGAGGGCCGGCTCCGGCTCGTCTGCCGTCCCCGACATGGCTGTTAACACTCACGGGGCAGCTTTAAACTTCCCAAGTAGTCAGAAGTTTCACAGCCAACAATAAACAGCGAAAACGTTCAGTACGTCTGAAGTGTTCTAAGTCGCCAGCACTACAGTAATGTCTGTAGCAGCTCTGAACTCCCCAAGTCTGCTTTCACAGTCCACAACAAACAGTGATTCCTACAGTAAAGCCTGTAGTCTTCTTTCACAATCGTAATGTTTCAGGTCGTCTTTTAAGGAAACAGCCTGTCGTCTCCTGTCCCCGACATGAGTCTAAACTTTCACGGAGAAACTCTAAACTTCCCCCAGCCCTTTTTCACAGTCCACAAGGAACAGTAACACGTACAGTGCCGTCTGTAGTGTCCCAAGTCGTATTTACAGCGTACAGGAAACAGTGACACGTACAATAATTTTTGTAGTGTTCCTGGTCGTCTTTCAGGAAACAGCGACGTAGTAAGTCGTCGTTCACAGTCTGCAAGAAACGACAAGGCGTGCAGTACGTCTGTAGTGTTACAAGTCGCCAGCACTATAGTATACTCTCTAGCATTCCAATGCGTCTTCCATACACACAGAAACAGCTACACGTACAGTAACGTCTGTAGTGTTCCAAGTCGTCTCTCACGATGTACAAGAAACAGCAAGGCGTACAGTGTGGTGTTCCTCTGTAGACCGAAGTTTCAGGAAACGTGACGAACTATTACCAGTAGGTGGAGTCCCCCTCTCACAGTGGTAGGGTAGCAGGGCTAGTCTCGCTCTATACAGACGACAACATGCCGAAAAACTTTCCTGCGGCGACTTTTACAACTCCCAGAGTTGTAGAGTTGTCTTACGCGTACTGTAGGACGAAAGACAGAAACTGGCTCCACTCTAGAACGCCGACAGTCTTCTCCTTGTTGTAGAAAGTCGGGAGAAGTTGCCGGCCGGTCCCGTGTGTTGCTGGGTTCCCCCGTGGGTCGTGTTGTGTCACTGACTGCCGCAGACGATTGAACCGGACCGCGTCGCCCGTTGCCAAGGCGACGACGACAATCGCCTGACGACGTCACTCACAGTCTCGCCTGAACACTGACAGATCTTATAAGGAAAATGTCCTAAGAAGTTTTAAGGAGATGTGGGAAGAACCGGTGTCTCGGTGCCAGGTGTTGCGCGGACAAAGCGTCGTCAGGTGTGACACGGATTAGGTGTTATTGGGTCGTACTTTCGTGTCAGTCAACAAACATGGCGGAGCGGTGTCAGGTGACAGCCTTTGGTTCCAGTCATGCGGAAAGCGCGCGAACGAAGCTCTCTAGTGTCTCTGGCGAAGGAATTTTAAAACGTTGCGTTTCTTGTTGTTGTTTCCCTACACAACATTTTTGCTGTTTTCTAATTCTATACCCGCGCATTTCTCTACCTTCTCCCCCTTTGTGTGCTCCGTTGCCCGTGTTTTGTTTGCCGTGTTACCGCCAGTGTTTGCCTGCCCCGTGATCAGGCGGTTTGAATGACAATCATTAGGTGGTAGTTGTCGGCGCGCGGAGGTAAATAATAACCCTGATTGCTGAGTCAATATTACACCGTCACTCAGCCTGGTGGCACGGTGGGGTGGGCAGGCACCAAGCAGATGCACGGGGTTAACGTTAGCATATAGTGGCAGGTGGTTCTTGTATCCAGAAACTTTCCTACTTCTGTGTCTGAATGAGTTATGGTTAATCTCCAAGCAGATCTCCACGTCGGGGTTAGACAGTATCACAGGCCTCAAGCAAATTTGTAGGGGGTTAACATATAGTGGCAAGGTGGTTATTGTATCCTGAAACTTTTGTATCTAGTAATCTTCAAGCAGATCCCTTTCGGTGGCAAGACAGTATCCATTAGCCAGAGGAGTTTGGACGGCCACTGGCCAATGCATACTACCTTGCCACCATATGATCTGTTTGAAGATTACTATCTAGTTCTATGCCTGAATGGGTGAAGGTTAGGATCAGGCACGGTTCTGGATAGTCTCTATTGTACCCAGAACCGTTCCTATCTAGTAGTAGTAGTAGTAGTAGTAGCTATGCCTGAATGGGTTAGGGTTAGGATCAGGCACGGTTAAATAGTCTCTATTGTATCCAGAACCGTGTCTGTCTAGTTCTGTGCTTGAACGGGTTATGGTTAGGGTTATTGTCAGGCACGGTTCTTAGAGGATAGTCTCTATTGTATCCAGAACCGTGCCTATCTAGTTCTGTGCTTGAACGGGTTATGGTTAGGGTTATTGTCAGGCATGGTTCTGGATAGTCTCCGCGGATCCAAGAATGCAGATTTGCCTCAGGCACTGGATACAGCAATGGTCTTGTGATCAAGGTTGTTGACTTAGAATTAGAATCTGAATATTCCGGGTTCGAATCACTAGCAGACTGTAGCAGCCTGCACATATTTCCTCACTCCACTCAAATCTTACAATCCGGTCTAATACGCAGCTTGGAGGTTTTAAAAACAGTGTCACAACATGCAATGCCGGTAAATTACAACAAAAAGGTTCTACAAAAGGAAATGTGCATTTTACACGCAACTTGCGTCGTGTCGCGACGTCATATAACGTCATTTTCTATACGCCCAGTTTGCGAGTCCATATATCACAGAACGTGCGTCACACGCTGTTGTTCTTAGTCGCCCCAAAGGTCGGGCGATGTCGCGGGTCGGTTGTGCTATTGTCGGGGGTCGGTTGTGCCATTGTCGGGATGACAGCCGCTCGGCAGTTCATCACACCAGCCGTTATAATGAGGACATTAGTCTCCATAACATATGCTGAATAATAGTTAAATTTTAGCCTCTACCAGGCTTCGGGAGGTGACTGGAAAGAGTAGAAATTGGCCAAATGGAGAGAAGTAACATACCGAGTGCGGCAAACTGTACACCCAGTGGACCAACGTTAGCCCCTCCCCCGGCATGTTATCTATCTCTATTTGGCCAATTTCTACTTTTTCCAGTCGCCTCCCGAAACCTTGTAAAATAGGAGAAATTATGCATGGTGATTTACATCAACAGGGTCTGTGACACTGGCAATAGAACCTCGGATAACAGTTGACAATAGTTATGTGTCATATGTGCCATCAAACTCCGTTTTCGTGTTGATGTTTCCAGTGAAGCATATCTTGTTAAACCCTAGAGCCAACAAATTAAATTGTTGTGGCCTGATTCATGCTGACTTATTTTCCCATGCAGGTGTTCGGAAAGATTACTGGGGAATTATTAATGTTTAATCTGCGATAACGGACCCGATAGTATCCGGGGAACGAGCGGGCGGACTGAAACCTCGGCACGTCGGCTCTTTCCCTGACGACAGTTGGTAAGGCCCTTTTGCGGACAGGATGTAGGACTCGGGAGCTGTAATAGGCCTAATAGGTTTGGTAACCAGTTGTATCCAGAACCGTGCTTTATCCAGAACCATGCTCAGGCACGATTTTGGATAGTTCGCGCGTATCCAGGATCATACTGAGGCCAGGTTCTGGATAGTCCGCACGTATCCAGAACCGTGCTTTATCCAGAACCATGCTCAGACAGGGTTCTAGCCCTCACGAATCCAGAATCGTGCTTTATCCTCAGGCACAATTCTGGATAGTCCAAGTGTATCCAGAATTGTGCTATATCCAGGAGCATACTCAGGCACGGCTCTGGATGGTCCATACGTATCCAGAGTCGTGCTTTATCTACTAGGCCCATGCCCAGGCACGATTCTGGATAGTTCATGCGTATCCAGAACCATGCTTTATTCGGATCATGCTCAGGTACGGTTCTGGAACTCATTACACTGATACACACATGCGAAATCGCTTTGCTTCTGCAGTACACAGTCAGACCGGTAGGTGCGTTCTTGCTCAGCCCCCGGTAACATGGTTAAGGCCATTGACGTGAAGACTTTATACTTTTTAGATTCAATTAAACATTCAGACTATAGGATAGATAAAAATGCATGGTATTCTCTCTCATGCCATCGGTCAATCGATATCTAGCCTAGAAAAGCTTTAAAAATTGTGGATACGTTCCTGAATAACCAATCTATAACTGGCTTACAGTATTTCAATACAGCGCCAGATAAGCTCCTTACATTGAAACATGTCCGCTATAGAACATGTCAATGAACCTTGTTTGCATCCGCCAAGCCACGTCGAGAATTCCAGTTTTCTTTTCCTTTCGCGAGAGAAAGTGGTCCGTTCCACGACTCCAGGCGTCAATACCGCTGACAAGAAAGCTCGTCGCTGCAAAAGTCAACCATGGATCCGCCTTATTTGAACTTGTCTACAATATCTAGCCTTCACGTATCACTGTTAAATCTTCAGCCAATGCCGTGTCGTTATCCGGATCCATTCAATAATTTGTCTCGAAACCGGGTAGTTGCGGCCTGTTTGAAGAGTGAATACAGACAGGAGTTTAAGTTTGAGTTGAACCACAAGTACATTTCACACGGCACGCCGCTGTAAGGATGAATATAACATCAGTCACTAACTCATGAGTGGGGCTGATGAAGATGAGAAACGTGATCGGCGCTGTTTAAGTGGTACTTTCCTCCCGCCTCTTTGATGTCAATCTCTGTTTGAAACTGAGCTTTCTTCTCCAGACCTTTTAACCCCGAGGATTTCGAGTGGCAGCTAATTTCAATTGCAATGTGATGCTTGTATGTTCTCTACGTTCTCCAGAACTCTGCACACAGCACGTAGAATTATGTATACAATTTAGAGTCTCAGCTATACATGCTTTCTTCAATTTAGGCAAAAAGTTGCCATCATCTTGAAATCTAAGTAGTCAGGAAGGTTAAACAAATTACTCAAGTCATCAATGACTTTGGGTTAGGGTTAGTGTTAGGGTTAGGAACAGGCACGGTTCTGGATAGTCTCTGCGTCTCCCTATGCACAGTTCTGAACACGCATGGACTATCCAGAACCGTGCCTGAGCATTATTCTGGATAAAGCATGGTTCTGAGTACAACACACCCTTCCGACGAAACACACCAGCTTCGCAGGCACGCGGCGCAGGGACAGATTTCTATATTACACAGAATAATCTGTTGAACTTTAAGCGTTGATAAAGTCACCTACATGTAGTGCTGTACTCATATAGTGGCAGCGAGTTCCACTCTGCGATAGTTCTAGGGGAAAAGAGTTTTTGAACACCTCAATCCTTGGTTGAAAACTCCGATACTTAAAGATAAGACTATGAATAGTCTCATCATGCCGGTTTATCGGCGTTCTCTTTGATATCTGAATCTGTTTGAAAGTGAGCTTCTTTCACCACGACCCTTTCCACCCTCGGGTCTACACAGATATAAACGAAGATATAAACGAAGCCGGCTAATGAAGGTGGTGTGTGGTTGCAACACGAGGAAGGCGCTTTTCCATGAGAAAATTAAGCGCCAGGCAAAGAAAATTCGATTCTGCCGAATCCGATTACGGATCCTATTCCCAGAACCGAGAATATCAGCGCTTATTAAGTTACGGACGGTGATTGGGGGTGGGAGGATCTGAGAAACGGTGATCAGAGAGTTCGCCAAAGATCGGCCGCCTACACGCGTTTTGAAGCTCCGTAATTCAGTAAAAACTTCAAGTGGAACCAAACGATGTCTAGAGCTTGTAATGCGGAAGTCAGCAAACTGTTTTATCGTCAGATAAGTCGTGGATTCTGCCTCAAACCATCCACAACATTTTTTTTCATATTTGATATTTTCAAACTAAGCCTAATCCCGTGGCAATACCGTTTTCTGATCACCATGGCGAGATGAGGACCTCCTCAGCAGTGGCCGGCTGGCTATCCCATAGCGTCCTCGGTAGACTGGGGTTTTCCTTGTGTGCTTTTATATGGTACGGTAGTTATTTTCTTATGGCACATCACTTCTATTGGTAGCTGGGCTTTGTTTTCTCACCCTAGCGTAGAGCAAGAGGGTATTAAAAGTCTTGGGCCGGCAGACCGAGCAAAGAGGCCAATAGAATTGATGTTCCTTAAGAAAAAAAGGCCGGTGCATATAGGCAGGTAGGCAAGAAAAAAAGTGCAATACACCCCCCCCCCCCTTTCACAATAAAAAAAAACCTGCTAGGAACTGTGCTGATACACGTTATCGGACTTACAAACATATGTTCTTTATATCGCCATAAAAACTATTAATGTGTTGATCACGACTGCCGGGTCTATTTTCTCACGCTTGGTTCGGTTCGCGCTGTGGTTTCCTTCTCACCGTGGCATCTAATCACAACTCTTTGATGCGTACAGAAGAAGGAAATCCCGCCTCGGTTAATGCTGAGATACACTTGAACATCTGTGAGCCCAGAGAAATGAGATTGACCCTACAAGCGAGCAGGCATGGCTGAGATAAATTGAAAGTAAAACTCCTGAGGTGTTGAGTCAAGTGTGTACACATGGGGCA